GAATTACGAATTAACTTGATTAACGAGTAATTGATACGACCATGAATATATTTTTATACTGTTCGTGTTTTTTCTTTAAATTTTACCAATTCAAATAATTGACTTTCAAGTTATTTTTATATTTTTATCGGCTCTCGATTTAATCATAATAGCAGATGTCAAATGTATATAATATTTTATTAAAACAATATCTTTACTTTAGAAAAAATTCATAATTCTGTAAAATTTAGATTAAATGTAGAGTGAAAGGAAATATACTCACATTTGGATGAATAAACGCTCCCATTAATATCATTTAATTCTTTATAATATGAAATACTTTAGTAAACTATTGTTCATGAATTTATGTATGTATATAAGGAGAATACAAATAAAAAATTTGAATATTCAATAAATTGTTGGAATCTAGTTTTTAATAATTATTAAACTTTGAATTAAATCCAATAAATCCTGTGTTTTATCATTCATCTCAATCTATCATTTACAATTGATCTTCAAAACTAATAAGCCTTTAATTTTTATTTTATTCTATTTATATATAGATTTAGAGAAAACTTAAACACTATATTATGTGAAATAAATTGAAATAAATTACATTTTATCTAGAAAAACTTTGAATTGAAATTCTATCTATTAGCTAGTTCTTCAACTCTTCGAGCGAATAAGAAAGTGAAATTAAATATGGCAAAAGGCAGTTGGATGGATGCGAGTTACGCGCAGCTCATTGGACTTTCCAACTGCCACGTCTCTTAGTAATTTTTTCGCGTAGCTCTCCCCGTCAAAGTGCGAGGCTCTCACTTCGACCTAGCGAAGCTAGTGAAAGCTCTTTCTCTCCCCTCGTCCTCATTAATCCAATAATTTCGGGTCTCCCATGTCGCGGGCGTTCGGCCGCGAGAAGGAGAGCAAAGCGAAGGATCGATCCGCGAATGTCCCACTTGGTCGGGAGATCGGGCGACCGCGTCATCACGATCTCCACCGAGGCTCGCGATCCTTTTACTCTGGCCAACCGTCACGATTCGCGATTCGCTTTTCGGCCTACCGAGGTCTCGGGTCAAGATCGAGGCCGCGCCCTGGATACGACGGCTTCCCGGTGGGAAATGCGCTCCGCGAGCTCCCTCGAGCCTCTCAGCGGCTATGTTTGACGTCACGAGGCAGAAGGTGCAAGCTCCGCGGGTCATTGAGAACAGCGAGCAGGCGGCGATTCTGAACGATACCACCGGTCGCTTAATAATTGGCTAACCTTCTTTATCTCCGTATTTTTTTTTTTTAACATGAATTTGTATTCCCCGACTTTGGAATTATATCGTTATTTTACATATTTTGTGCATGCGAAGGAATTTCACCTTCAATTAGTATTTTCCACTCAAGGCCTTCGCTTATGTCGCGGTTGGATAATATTTTTCTTTTCAGAACACATAGATTTATCGACGGTACGCAAAAGTAAGATGATCAAGTATAACTTGCTTTCCCAGTTAGATAATTTATTATGTATATTAGGGTAAATAGAAATTGCAAGTTTGTGCATTTATTGAATAAAAATGATGAAATATTGTCGATAATAATAATTATAGGTATTGAAATATAATTCCATTGCCGTTAATAATTTACCGTTCAAATTTGATATTATTTTTTTATTCCACCAATATGTATTATCTCACAATAAACCATGGCAATGAATAGTAATAAAACAAAAAGAATTATAATGTTAAAAGCAAAGGCATTTTACACAAATGTTGATCAGCAGTGAATATACGATCGTCGTCGACATCGTATTTGTATTGGAATGTACTAGCTTTTACTAAAACTACTAATTTTCGTTAATTATCCGCACGAAAGGTTGTATCGGCCCTATCCAATCACAATTGCATGGATATTAGAATTTTGAAAATATATTAAACTATCTTGATCGTATCTCCATTAATTTTTATCAGCATGAAAATCGTCAATTTATATCGTTTTACAGAATGATTTATGACGCTTAAGGGTAAAGTAACGAGCGACGAAAGACGAACGTTTTCGTTTGCTGCAACATCCCAGACTTATCAAAGAATTTCTCGAATAAATCAATAATTCATAATATCTTAAAAACTACTTGGCCTTACAATCGAAATAAGTATGGGCCATTATTAATCCTTGATATTTACCAATAATGCTACCAATGCATATCACTACGCATAACATATGCATGGAAAAATGTAAATTTATAAATTTCCGAGGCTGTGAGATTAGTCGGCCGATATGATCGACTTGCTGCATAAAATCATAAAATAACGCCTAACTAGATGCTGATATCTTAAAAGCAGTCGGCAATATTAGCAAATTAGCAAACGGCAAGTCATAATCGTCACAAGCCCGAGACAGTAATAGCGCGAAAAACAATCACACGCTCGATTAGCTAAAATGCAATGACAGTGACAAGTTGGCCGAAATGAAAGGAGCCGCTGTTTCGTAAGCGTAACATCCCCGTCCAACTCGCTCGTGCGCGCAGCTTCCATTGGGCGGTAAAGCCAATCGAAAATGCGATTACCAACGGGGCAGGGTCGCGCGGGACGGGGTGGTGGATTGGTGAGAGGAGGGAAAGGTGTCAAGAGGGAAAATGAGGCACCGTTTCGCGCGGGCGGCGGGTGCTAACGAGGAAAAGCGCTCATCCTGCGCACGCTCTGATTGGCCGCTCAGTGCGCCGAGGCGCCGCGCACTTCGCTTTTCCCGGTGCCGCGCGTCGGCCGCACTTTCTTCGGCCGGCCTCAGGATGGGGCTGCTCTAGGAGGAAGCTTACATGCCTGAGTTCTTACTTTAACGCTCGATTGTACGACTCGCTTAACAGTGCCGAGCAAAATGGACTTTTTACACGTTCAACTGTGTTTTTATTGTGTAAACACACTATAAATAGTTGTTCGATTTTAATTAATGGACGAGAATTATTTTCCTTCCCTCCCCTTCAACATTACGTAAAATCATACTTTTGCAAATGTTTAAGCGTACATTATCTGTTCGAATGTCGTTGGAATTTCACAATTATAATACAGAATGATATATAAGAATTCACGCACACGCACACGCACACGCACACGCATATAAGTGCCAACGCTTTACGACTGACATACGAATGTAGTATTTTTGTTAAAATATGTATATTAAAAGGGATGAAAGTAGCAAATACTCAAAATACATGATAAAATAATGCATCGATATATATATATATACATATATATATATATATATATATTATTATAATTGAATATATAGTTTTTGTTTCGTAGAAATTTGCTCAATTACAGTCTCGCGAATAGCTTCACAAAGCAAATGAGCTCAAAAAGGTGTAAAATTAATTAAGTAAGGTGGAATTCTACGCTACTTACACAAGACTAAATACTGCAAAAGATTTATTAAATCTCGCGTAACATTAATTGCATTGCTCTTACAAAAGCCAATTATTTGAAATAAAAAAAATATATATTGCTATTACGCAGAAATTTGTGTTTTACCATATAAAAATCATATCAAATCGCAATGAAAAAGAAAAAGAAAAAGAAAAAAAAAAAAAAAAAAATTGATTCAAATTGATTAAATAATTACGGATCGATCACTGACACATCCCGACAAGAATACACGAATTTTAAAATGTTTATTAACCTTTGGTTTATTATAATGATATTATTATTGTAATTCTTAACTTTTGGACATTCATAAATTAAGATTGTTTTACACACAATTCATCGTATTTCTCATTCTTATTCAATTATTTTTCATCTTAACTATAACTTCCTTCGTGCATTCGTATTAACATTAAAGTAATGTAGATGGATTTGCAAATATTATTATGAAAAGAAACAATTCTCCACGAAACAAAAGAAAGTTTTAAAAAAAAAAACTCTGATTACAAACAGATTCAAACTATGTACTTAGATTTATATCGAAAAAAAAATAAATAAATAAAAATGCGCAAGTACGTTCAGTTTGTTACGACGTGTAAATCTTTCGTGTTTACTAAAGCGTAATTGCGTGCGCATCATTATTTTCTCTCTTATTGGTAATAGTAGAAATTGTGCATATGAGGTCGACTGTAGACTGTATGGTTCTTAGATCCAGAGTACGTTTTTTTCTTTCTTTTTTTCCCTTTTTTTTTTTTTTTTTTAACTACATCTTACTTCTATTCTTATTGCAATGAATAATCCAATAAAAAAAATGATGTTTTAAAATGAAGAGAGGGGAGGGGGAAAAAAGTTCAGACCTTAATTTCAAAAACGATATATATATATATATATATATATATAAAATTCAATTTTAGAGTTGATGGTCAAAAGTTCGAAGGACTGGAACGATATATCGAACACAAAAGATATTATTATTAGTTTCGCATTATCGAAGAAATAGGGATCTTACTATCGACTTTCAACAACTCCAAAGCCAAAGTCGAAATTTAATTCCCGCCTCTTAATGTAAAAGACACGAGGATTCCATTCATTATCTATAACGAACAGTTTTACCTTAACAATTGTAATTAAATTCCATGAAATGGCCACCTCTCGCAGACTAGCTCCTACATTGTAAAAAAAAAAAAAGTCCTGTTATCTTGGCGCTAACCTCGCCTTAAAAGTCTATTCTATTTTCGCGACGGATTTTCTGTGATAAAAATGGAGTCATCGAGACTCGGCGCCGTGCACTAGTCAAATTGTCCTCAAGTGCAACGTTAATCATCGGAATTTCGAATGCCAGCCAAGCCCAGCATAATAGCGCCACTGAGCCCCCGATTGCCATTGATAAACGATTCACGCGACTTCCGCGCTGCCGACCTCGTGCACCATCCCCGAGTTAAGAAAAAAAAAAAAAAAAAAAAACCCGCCCCCCAGCGGGGAAGGATGTCCGGGCGCTCGGCCTCCGCCTTGACCGGCGAAGGTCGCGGGCGCTCGGCTCCACCACCTCCTCCGAGCCAATCGGCAACAGCTCGGCGATCGGCGGTGGGAGCGGTCGTATAAAGTCGGCCGACTGACGCGCGCACCTCGACTCTCTCGGCTCGGTCTCGTCGCCCAGTGCCCGGAAGCTCAAGGCGTCTTCACGCCGTCAACGCGCCAAGTCGTCAGCGCGAGGATACGCGATAGAGCGGTGAGTCCGCGCTGAGCCAAAGTCCAGAGTCGAGCCGTCAGCTTCGAGAGCCGCCGACATGTGCGACGACGACGTGGCCGCCCTCGTGGTCGACAATGGCTCGGGGATGTGCAAGGCCGGCTTCGCCGGGGACGACGCGCCCAGGGCAGTGTTCCCATCCATCGTGGGGAGGCCCCGTTACCAGGTAATCGAGTCTCCGTGCTCGATCCTACGTCACCGTCCTTATCCCAAAATCGGAATACACAGGCACGAGGGTCGCGTTCACTGGTTGAGCCAAAGAAATTTCTCCTCGCGTCGCTACCCGGCCGTGGTTATCCGAATAAAATAATGTAGCTGGCCAATTTGCAAATTACAAGACCCAAGCGAAATATCGCGAAATACCATATAATAACGAATTGGCACTCGCCTCGAAGCTAATTATCTCCTGCTGTTCAATTCTTAATTCTCACGGCTTCTCTTACTTTCATTGATAATAAGATTCAACGTTCGATTACCTTCAACCCTCAACCCCCATTCGTATTTCAATGTAAAAGCAACTTGTGTATATCTATATTCCTTGGCCGTATCTTCGGCGATTAGTATTTGGTGGATGCAGACGTACATCGGGAAATTACTGCTGATTTGAGGGAGTTTGAGCGAGTCTTGAGTTGCCTTTGGTTGACTCTGATCGCTAAGTCGCCGAATTTAGAATTTAGAATCGGTCGTAAGAGCTCGGATGATGTACTCGGCGTGTGCTCGCGATTACGTTCCGTTTCGTTTTCAACCCAAATGCCGGAATGCTCGGACGATACGAGGATAATGGGGATCAGGTCGCGGATGTCGATGCCCTCGCCGAGACGACGCGCCGAGAGCAAAGGACTACAACACGATGGGTTGGAATGCGTAGGGCATCATGGTCGGCATGGGCCAGAAGGACTCGTACGTGGGGGACGAGGCCCAGTCAAAGCGGGGCGTCCTCACGGTTAAGTATCCGATCGAGCACGGCATCGTCACCAATTGGGACGACATGGAGAAGATCTGGCATCATACGTTCTACAACGAGCTGCGTATCGCGCCCGAGGAGCACCCGGTTCTTCTAACCGAGGCACCCCTCAACCCCAAGGCCAACCGCGAGAAAATGACGCAGATCATGTTCGAGACGTTCAACTCGCCGGCGATGTACGTCGCCATCCAGGCGGTGCTCTCGCTCTACGCATCCGGTCGCACCACCGGCATCGTCCTCGACTCCGGCGACGGCGTATCCCACACCGTGCCCATCTACGAGGGTGAGTCCGATCCTTATTTTTATTTCGCGCCCGGGACTCTATGTCCATCAGTTCTCATCTTTGAACCAACGAACGCGCGGAAACGCCACCGAGTTACCCCACCTTGTCCATGCAAACAACAAATTAGTCGAGTCCGGCAAATTGTCCTTGAAATCCTTTAAATCCATTCCTATCCTCGAATAGTAAAATTATTTGCGAGCGAAGAGATTATTCGCATTCGCAAAATCAACCGAGTATTTTCTATTATTATTATCACTGCACAATGCACGGGAACCAAACTAATGCGATATTTACGTATCGAGTATGCATTTTTACTTTTTCATTCTTGTTCCTGGGAATTTTAAGGGCGTCGTTACACAAGAAATACGAGCGGAATGAGATAAATGGGATTATAAATTTAAAAATCAATCGATACTTTCGCGCCCATGCTGTGCGCCCATTGATAGAAGAGAAGAGAAGAGAATTTTCTTAATTATCGCCTAATTAATTAGCCAAATGTTGAATCGTAGGGAAGAATAATTTTGTTTCTTTAAAGTGAGTTCTTATCGAGTGGTTAGCATTGTTAATTGGTTAATTGGTAACGATGATCTTTATACAATAATGACGTAAATTTTTCGTAAGACTTTTTAAATGCTACTCTTTAAATGATTATAATTTAATTTTCCGACTTTTATGATGTGCCTGTTGAATAGGATAAATAGAAATAGTTATATATATATATATATATATATAAATCTATTGTAAGGAATGAAATTTTTTCTCAACTTTACCAATAATTTCGACTCCTCAATCCTATTCAAGAATTTTTTTCGGCTATTCATAGGGCAAATTCAACATAAATAATTTTTCTTCCTTTTCTTTAATCAGTAATTATGTTGTTTAAAATGCTAAATTACTCGGTTGAATTTTAGACGTCTGTACTCAACATACACACAGCTATACCTTACACTAATAAAGTTAATTACACTAATGCATTCATCTAAGCATGGCTAAATTATTATATGGATATATAAATGCATTTAATTATAAATATTATAAATTCATTACATCAAATATTTTAATAATGAATCTCATCTCTTACTTCCTTAAAATTTAATATTTCTATTTAAAAACTTATACTTTGCTCAGTGAATTATAATGAATTATATTATGCGAAATTATACAACCTTCGTCACAACGTAAAAATGTAACGTTTGATTTCAAAAATGTTTAAAATTAAAAAATTATAAGCTATCATCCTCGTCAATATTAATACTTTATTCTCATATTCTATAAGTGTTGTAATAAATATAATTCAAGTTAACTGTCAATGCTTATAGTAATGGTAATGCAATAGTTATATAGACATAAAATTTGCAGAATAATGTAGAAGTTCTTTAGCTAATTCTAGTTTTAATTTAATTAAAATGTAACGCTACAATAATTACTATGTCATTATATTTTCGAATTTATCTAACATTTTAGCTTTATTTTCATTAATGTTTTAAAACTGAATAATATGATATATATATATATATATACATTATTACAAATAGTAAGTGAATGAAAACAAAATTTATCAAGCTAATTTTATTTGTGGTAAGAAAGCGGTTTTAAGATCAAGGTTAAAAAGACTCGGGCATCTTCCCTTTTTTGGATGATTGTTCTCAAGGATGTAACGATCGATTGAGATCAAGTAATACAGAAATAATGAGTATATGTCGATATAATTGACTTTAAATTCATTCGGTTATAATGCGATAAGTTAAAAATAAACAGGCAAGATTCAATAAAATCTGCAGACTTTGCATTATGATCGTTAATTATTTTATCTAGTTTTTCATTACAATAAATTCAGTTGTTTAGTTTTTTCCCCTTAAATTGTTACGATATTTAAATAAACGTACAGTTATATCCGTGACTTATATTATATGAATCTCCGGATGGGATAATAATATTAAGTATTCAAATTTAATATGAACGTATTGCAGGAAATATTAAATGAAATAAATTATATATGAATTTCAATACATATAAACATTGTTTCCACATCGATAATTATTGCGTTAGAAGGTATTATAAATGTTGTTAACAACAACAATAAATTGTAAAACTTATGAAAAAGTGTATATTTTATACAGGTTGGTTAAATTTACAATGCACTTTACAAAATACATTTTCAATACAAATAATTTTATAATGTACATATTAGAGTTTACAAGAATCCAGTAGCTTTATACGACGTCCTTTTCTAATGTATAAACGATCTTGCAGAAAAGAAGAAACTCTAATGCAAACATAAATATTCATTTCAATTTCATGTAATTTCAATGTACACGATGATTCGAGCATTAATTGCATGTACTTATAAATTACATATACTTTATCATAATTAAAATGGAAATAACAATCAACGCCATTATTTTTACAATATTAATAAGATTTCATCTAAATTGGGTGCTAATTTGTACAAATTGATTTGGGAATACTTAATTTAGAAATTCTTAGAATATTCGACGCAACGGGATGGATCTGTAGGATAATACTCTTGACACTTTGTCATAAGTCGTTTTAGAGCTTGAATGTATTTTCGCTGAGTTTCGTCATTCATGACGTGTGCTACGTTTTTGGAAAAAATTTTTTCTCTTCCCGTACGTGCGTGAATACCGACCATAGTCACACCAATGGGCCACGGTGAATTTCCAATAGCCATTTGAAGATACGCATCGCTGGCCTGAAATATTGCAGTTACGATTTAAGATATTCAAAATTTGTTTATAAAAATTTTGAATACTAGACAAATTGATTAACTAAATCAACGAATATGTTTACAAATTAATAGGTAATGAAAAAGATATTAGCAACTTGACCGATGTAAGTGTATATTCATAATATATTGCCAAATTATCAAGTATTTGCACAATTTATAAGACTCAAGCATAATTTGTGATATAATTCGTTACCAATATATAGTTTCTCTCGAGCAAATGTTTAACAATTTCCGTTAAACTGTCAGTAATATCTTCAGGGAGAGATTTATTTTTTAATTTCCGAAGAAGTGGCTTTAGATATTCTCTTGTCTGTGCATAAATAGCACTGTCCATCTTCCCCTTGGCACCCGTTTTTTCAGAAGCTAATCTACCGTTAAGTTGATCGCCCCACATTTTCACTAAAAATTGCAAGAACTGTGTTATGATATTCATGTCCGTATCACGATCTTTTTTATCAAGAGCGGTAGCCATAATTTGTATATCTTCGTAGGTTACTTCCTCATCGGGTACATGAACATCGCCCTTTTTACGTTGCTCTTGTGGTTTAGAGGATTTTAAAATTTCATCAAGATACGCTTGGTCAACTTGCTCCATAGCCTCTTGAAAGTCATTTCTCAAACCCTGACAATAACAATAAACATTGCAAAGTATAAAATGCTTACAAAATGTACAAAAAACTGTCCACTTAAAGTACTCGCATACCTTATTCACTTCTGGCTCAAGTATTTCGCACCTCCTCAATCGTTTAAACGAATCAATTTCAGACTCCGCAAAAAGTAGAATCGGATGACCTCTCTCTCTCAGTTTACGTATAACTTCCAATCGAGGTAGCGCATGTTGCGAATTGTCCTGGATCATCGAGTTTTCAGCATCGATTCTATTATTACTGTCATCTTTATTACTATTCGATTTTATATTACTTGGTGTTTTTGGCTCTGTTGTCAACAGATCGCCACGCTTAAAGTACTTTCTGTTACTTTGCTATCAGAGTTTAATTATTACAATTATTATAATGGCTGATTAGTTTGAATATAAACAAAACATACTTACCAATATATTCTTTTCCTCGAGTTCTTTTCGTTTTCTCGCTATCTCTGCCTTTAGAATATCCATAATGAGAAGTTAAAACGATATTTCCATGAGCATTTAATAATTCGACACTATTATTAAACGACAGAATTATAAACTAGGCATATATCTGCCTAATATTAACCTAAAAATTCTTTTCACTCTCTCTCTCTCTCTCTCTCTCTCTCTCTCTCTAGAACATTGAATAATGATAATAAACATCGAACGTAATAATTGTATATCTAATTATTACGATTCTGCTTTATAAAGACACTATGATCGAACCATCTCTTATTATTAATAACGTTAAACGAGTCTCGCATCATTGTCACTGTAAAATATGTACATTTACGTGCATTGTGCTGTGCACGTAATTCGTATTGTATTGTGCTCACTGTTTTGGTAAATTTTGTATACGACGAGCTTACAAAAATTAAAATCGGTCTCGCCCTCTAGTTGCTTTAATTCGCAACATTGACTTTGAATTAATTCGTATTAATTGATCGAGGATTAATGAAACTTAATTACCTAAAGTTTGTCATTATAGTTAGAAGCTTTATAAATGTGGTATTATAATCATTCAAATTATCGATAGAATATGAATGATAATCGGGTTGTTCCATCACTTTGTTTTACAATTACAGCTACACATATTTTTGAATTTAGCATTTTATCGAAATTCTAAATTTACGAGGCTTGACTTAGCGATTCGGAAAGGTTCTACAAATTTCCTTACTTTAATTACTAGTTAAGCTAATGAAATGTGTACGTCGCCGTTCCAAAGCTCCATGTTTTGTACAGAGTATTGTACGTGAAATGCATTGCCGAGAAGAAGGAATACAAAATAGATAAAATATCAAAATCGTTCGTTAGAAAAAAAAGGAAAAATTAATTAATCCAGAGACTCAAGTTAAATTGAATGAAATTCGACATTATTCGAAACAATTTAAAAAATTTTAATACGCAAAATTTTATTCTTAAAGTTTGTGCCTTTCAATAATTTTGATTGACTTTAGAATTTGTTTTATCGGTCCATTAAACTCCGACATTTTTTTTTTTTTTTTTTTTTTTTTTTTTACAAAATGATGCAAATGTCCTAGTATGAATTCGCTCTCATCGACCTATTTAAAAAATACTTTTCAAGAATTATGACTTTTACAATATTATCTGTAATTTAAATCGCCGTCAACTTAAATAGTTAATTGCTAACCTCGTTATTTTATAATAATTTAACGATAAAAGGATTTTCACTTAGAGAATTAAATAAATTGACCAATTGTAGCCTTTTTTTTTTTTTTTTTATCGAAGGATAATAATTTAACTACATTTGATTTAATTACAAGCGATGGGATTTTCATTTATAAAGTCGATTTTCAATTAAAAAAATTACGTATATTTTTTTTCTTTTAACTTTTAACAATATTTTATTATGTTTAACAACAATTGATTTTATAAAATTATTTGCTTTTATTTTCCACTACTATTTGGGATTTTTAGTCCCGGGCTTCCAAATAAAAAAAAGTAAACCGTCCGCTTTTAAAGTGTTGTTTAAATTTCTCTTAAATCTTTATTTTTAAACGATATAAATGTAAAATAAATTTTATGCACTTTTGTGGGAAAAAAAAACAAAAAAAAAAAAAAAAAAAAAAAAAAAAAAAAAAAAAAAAAAAAAAAAAAAAAAAAAAACAAAAAAAAAAAAAAGAAGAAGAAGAAGAAGAAGAAGAAGAAGCAGAAACATTAAACCAGCAACTGAATAGAAATTTCTTTTCGTAAATTCAAAATGGATAATACGAGTTTGTAGCGCTTTCAATTACCATTAAATTACCAATTACCAGAAAATTACTGGTAGAGTGGAAAATTTTTAATATTGACAAATTGGTAAAATTTAGGGAATATTTGGGATGACTAATATACTCATTGCCTATGTACATAGGAAAAAAATCCATTGGATTGCAAGTGGTACCGCTGTGGCATTATGAAAGCTACAATTTGCATGAAGAAGTAGTGAAAGTTGTTCTGCGCATGCTTCATATCTGTGCTCCGTTTAGTCGTATTGTTCGCATTTTACATTGTGCGCTACTATCATGTACCAATATACCTAGATCGTGTATCATGTGCTCGCAGACTGATCTGTCCTCTGACTCAGTCCTACTTTCAATTCCGTAATTGTAGAAAGTTTAGCATACCGCATCTTCGAATTTTAATTGCTTTCTACGCTTCGATCAGCTTATCTCGTACTTATTCACGTAATTGCAATTATCCGGTCTTAATAATTTTGCGATAAATTTGCGGTACATGCAGTTTTAGTAGATGAGAATCGAGGAATCGTAAATTATTTGTTATTATTCATAAAATGATTGGAGGTTATCTACGATAATAACGAAGAAACAGTTGTTATTAATGAAAGTATTGCTTCATGACAGTTGAGTTTCAATTTCAAAGTATATTGTGTATTTATTTTCAGACGTGTAGCGCTTTTTTTTTTTTTTTTTAATAATCGAAGGCAGTTTAAAATAGCAACACCTCGGCCTAAAGTAATTATTATATTGGATTTACCTTGGATTTACACTTAAAATAACGTGCTTCCGTACGTTTCAAAACAACAGATAAATTCACTTATCATCGTACACGTAATTTTTTGTTTTAATTTTATATAAATATTATTGCTGATTATTTGTAATTAAGGGATAGAATGTCGATCGAAGAAAATTATCTAATAAGGGAAGTAAGGGAATGCGAGATTTTTATCGTAAATTCCTTAATGGAGGCAAATTTTCATCCCGAGGAAACGATTTTAAAATGCCTTCTTTCGAATAACGAGCAGAGTCTCACTGACAATAAATTAAGACAAATAGACGAAGATCAACGTAAAATAATCGAAGCAATGATATTGAATTTACCCTGTCAAGTGGCTGTTGATAAATGTAGTGAGAAAATCATTGGCGTTAATATAATGATTGCAAGCGAAAATCCAAATGTATCGATAAATAATCGATCGATTAATGTTTACGAAGCTTATCCACCAAAGTGCGAACTTTTATCGAACTATTTTCACATAATGAATGACATGATCGATAAAGCTAAACTCTTCGGCAAATTCCCCAAGGTGAAACGCGCTTTGGAATTTTATGCGATTGTCGTGGACAAAGATCATCGAAGAAAAGGCTTATCGATTGCTTTAATGCAAAATGGCATCGAATATGCTAAATCTAATGGATACGATTTAGCTTTTGGACTTTTTACATCGGCATACTCGAAAAAAGCAGCTGAGAGAGTAGGCATGAGAAGCGTCATGGACATCGATCTTTTAAAATATCATGATCCACGTGGATCGTTGATCTTTTCGAAATCCTATCCACATAATGTCGCTTCTGTAATGGTGACATTAATAAAAACATTTTAATGGTTTAATAATTATCATTAAGCGTTCACAATTGATAATGTTTTATATATAATAGTAATGTCATTGTAAAACATAAGTGAATGATTTTCAATAATTTTCTCATGATATTTACAATTATTTAAAATGTCCATACAATTTTAACCATAATCCGTAATTTTTATTATTTACAACAATATAATTTTTATTATTTATGGATTTCTAATTTTGTATTTTATTCAACAAGGAATAAAGAGTTTTATTTTACGATACATTAGCATAATTATTTAAAAAAAAAAAAAAAAAAAAAAAGTAAACAACCCTTTGATATTTAAGCTCATAAACATTTCATTATGAATTACTAGATTGACAAATATTTTTCATTAATGCATTAAAGTAATAAGACAGCGCAACTTGTACTTACTTATCTTAATTATAAAATTAGTTTAAAAATCTTTTTAATAGTTTTTTAAGAAAATTTTAATTGTTTTCTCAACTTAATTACATGATCTATCAAGCTAATGGTTAATTAAAATATTTGCAAACATATTATACACGATGAAGTTCTAATTAATAGTAACGAACGTAATTAGCAATGACGGAAATACATTTTTCACGTAGTCAGTAATTTGAAATAAATGAGCGTGTTTCATTAGGTTAAAAATGAAAAATGTTAAATTTTTTAAATCTTAATTTTAGAGATTTGTTAATAAAATCCCGTAGAATGGCATTTATATATTACTTTCAAAGGTTATAAAATAGATAAGGTTCATAAAATAAACCTTATTTCCATAAATTAGTTTTTCATTTAACGATTAATTAAAGTAATTGCATATTACGTATATTTACATATTACGTATTGTTACTGTATATCGTTTGATTTGTAAAACAATAAGCCTATAAAAATAGAATTTTACGCTCTAAATAATGACAAAAACACCCGTAGCGACAATCATAATCATTATAAAAATTTATAACATAATAAGTTTTATTGGCCGGTTAAATAATTATGTTCACCTATCAGACGTACGGCATGCCGACATATATTTACTTTGCATGTTGCTATGCGTTAAATAAACTTCTCATAGTCATGAATTAAATTTCCATTAAATTAATAAATAAAAATTGTATAACAAGGCGTCATGACTCTCGTCAATCAAATGCAACGTAAGAGTTATTTAGCTTTGACAGGCGCAAGGGAATATATCGATATTATCTTTCCAGGATATGCTTTGCCGCACGCGATTTTGCGTCTGGATCTGGCCGGTCGTGACCTGACTGACTACCTCATGAAGATCCTCACGGAGCGCGGCTACTCCTTCACGACAACAGCCGAGCGAGAAATCGTTCGCGACATCAAGGAGAAGCTCTGCTACGTCGCCCTCGACTTCCAGCAGGAGATGGCTACGGCCGCGGGCTCCAGTGCCCTCGAGAAGAGCTACGAGCTTCCCGACGGCCAGGTAATCGCTTACTTTGTTCAATTTTTATGCGGCCGTAGCGAGAAGGATGCAAGTACACTTGGATAATATACGACCCGAGTATAAAATCGCGCGACTATTTCATTATTGATTAATAATAATACTCGATTGAATTAATTGCCGCGAGCGACCGAAAGCATTCGAATTTGTATTTTATTTAAAGAAAATAAACATTGTAGGTTATGTGAGCACGAGAATGCATTTCGTTAAAGAATAATTTTAATCGGTTCGTTAAATTTAATTGCGTTATGCTCAATTTAATTATGTAACATTGAGACTTTATAATTAGCGCAGGAAAATTTTTCCGCGCACAATTTAATGTATTCAGTGCGTATCAACTATTTTTCTTACGATCGCTATTGAATTCGAACAAATGTCATTATATACGGGTAGATAATTGAAATGCAATAGTAATTCTTTCAAACGCAGGTTTATTATTTAGATAGTTTATTATTTATTATATACGAGAAATCGTCTTGTCAGAAGAACGTTTCCGTGAAATGAAGGGAAAAAAACTTTTCTGATCGATAAGCACTTCAATTAATAATCACTAAGCTACTTAATTTTTGATGATTAAGGTCGAGGGAAGTTATCGATCGAAAAACCTCATTGCCCGTCAGAATACCATGCAACTGTTAAATTTTCGCTCCATTGAGAAAAACATAATTATTAATATTGATGTTGGCGAGGCAATTATAAAGTAAAATGAAAATATTGATATTTAAATTATTTTTCATTCGTTAATGTATCTCGTATTTAATAAACGAATCAACTGTTACGGAGATACAAAATGATATCCGATCATAATACTACAATAATGGTTAGTCGACGTAAATAGTATTACTAGTCGATATAAAATATCCAATCCCTTCTATTAAGCAAGTTTCATTTCATTTGTTCGGGGCAGTCGTTAATTTTTTTTTAAATTTTTTTATTTTTTTTTTAAATTTTTTTTAGTGAAACGGTCGTTTCATTATACGACGCGTTGATGCCATGTAAAAGGCCTATTGTAGAGGGGAATTAATCAATGAATCAAACAAATAATTACGTAATTCAGTTGACTAAGTGATGCTGAAATATTTAAAATTATTAAATACACAATT